CGGGGGCCGGGCAGGGCGCCTTGGGCGCGCCGGGCTCGGCGCGGAACGCGTCCCGCACGCTGCGCTCCTCCACCACGTCCAGCAGCAGCCTGCGCACCGTGTGCACGAAGCCGTGCTCCTCCGCCTGGCACACGTAGGTGCCCGCGTCCGACCTGCGCACGCGGAGGATCAGCAGCCCCAGGTCCACCTGCAGCACCCTGTCGTCCGGCCGCACCTGCAAGAGCGCACAGTGAGAGCGGGCCGGCGGGAGAGCGCACCTGGGCCCGCCCGCCCTCCCGTCAGTGCCCTTGAGGTCGCTTTATGTCAGTATTTCACAGAGGACTGGGAGAGACCTTTCTCGCTCATGGATCAAAGGGACCTTTAGAGAAATAACCCCCTCGGTGTAATCCGTAAAGTGAGGCTGCGATGGCGATGTGTCACATTTCTTATTTGAAGAAATAAGAAATCTGCTCTGCGGTGGACAGGACAGGAACACGCCCACACTCGCTCATGGCTTCTCCTGCATCCCAGGTCGTAATGACGACGACTTTCCTGAAGATTTCTGTTTAAAGTGCCAGGGTCGTCGCTGCCTGTCCTCGCAAGCATCCCCTCTGTTTTCACCACATTTCCCGAAGGCCGTGCACTGACGGAGAGGAACATAAGCAAATGGAGTTCGAGTCTGCTGTAAAGGGCCCCGGAGCTTAGTAAACGTGAAGTTTAAGGTGCACTCAGGGCAACTTGGGGCTTCGCGCGGCCCTGTCTCAAAATAAAAAATAAAAATGGCTGCGGATATAACTCAGGGGAAAGGCCGTGGGTCCAGTCCCCACTACTGAAGAAGAAAAAGGTTGTTTTTAGTGCTCAAACACTTTTGCTATGATGATGTCAAAATTTACTACGTTATAAATATTTAAAGTTAGGGGTAAGAAGAGCACATTTGTGAATAGCTCCTGTTTGGTCCACAATAGCTGCATTCCTGGGTTTAGGACTTGACACAAGGCATAGCAACATTCAGACACTGACACCGCCGCGTGCTAACTCTGGAATGGAGGGTGTTTGGTACATCCCGCCCTTGGATTTCTTCATAAACGCAGTCAGCCAGATAACGAACGGCTGCGGTGAGTAAAGCCAAGTACAATACTGCAGCCGTGGCCACATCCACTCTCCTATACACGGTCCCCGCGGAAGACACGCCGCAGCGCCTCGCTCGCCGGGAGCTGGCGAGTGACAGCCGGAGCCACAGCCCCCGGGCGTTCCCTGGGAGGACGCAGAAGCCCACGGGAATTGGGGAGGCGAGGCCTCCGCTGTCCCGGGGGAGGTCACAGTGAGGAGCGCGATCAGCCCCTCGGGGAAGGAGGCTCCGCAGGACAGCTGTGCCACGGTGACCAGGCACGGTGCGGTCACTCAGCGGGGACACGGGGCGCTCCTGCGGGGCGCGCACAGCGGCACTGGTGACGCAGCAGGCGGTGTGCCCCGAGTTCAGGGCTCGTGTTTAAGTCCTGAGCTTGCAAAGGCGTTTGCAGCCTTGCAGGGCAGAGCTGTTACTCAGCATCTGCTCGGGGTGTGTGCAGGAGCCAGAACCGGCTGCCCAGGTCCTCAACAGGGGCTCCTCGGGCCTGGCGGGGTTCACGCGCGGGCAGCGTGCTGTGGCTCTGACCCAGGGCTTCCCTGCCGAGGAGCTGGAGAGACCCCGGAGCAGCCCTGCTCCTGGCCCAGGCCGTCTGTCCTAGGGGCAGGGTTTGCACCCGCCGGGCCAACCAACTCTAAGGGACCCTGTGTGGCCCAGGGCAGCCCCTGCAGCCTTTCCTCTGCTCGCTCTCCACAGGGCACTCGCGCTGGCGCCCGGGGCCACACCCGCCCTCCGTGGCAGTCTGAAGCTGAGCCTCCACTCTTAAGTTGCGGCTGCATTTGAAACACACGCACCTACTGCACAACGTGTGCGCGTGTGTGTGCCGATGCCACCACGCTGTCCTGTTTCTCGTCTGCTTTCCTTGAGTCTGTCCTGCAGGTCTCCCCTCTCCCGCAGGGCACAGCCCTCCATTCCCCACGGAGCTCCCTTTTCTGTCCACCTGATAACATTTCTTTCCTTCTTCCAACGCACGGCTCTAACACGGTGTCCTACACGTAGGTAATTGTTTCCTATTAATTTCTATTAATAAAAATGAATTTATACACCAAGACTTGTTCTCTATTCATTAAGAAACACCTGCAACTGCAGGGACTTTCCTAACTCCCTGCGTCTGACCTCTGCATCTCAGCTGCCTGAAGCTGCCAGTCACCAGTACTCGCACTGTGCCCGCGCACCCCGGATGCCACAGACTTCTGCCAACAGATCCGCAGTGGGAACCCCGACGGCAGCCCTTTGCGCTTCGTCATTCGACCGCAGCGTCAGACTCTCAGCCCTTGGGGCAGTCTCCCGGCTCTGCGGCGCATTCCCAACTCCTGCTTCGTCCTCCCTCTCTGCTCAGGTCCATTCTTCCTGTTTCAGGACCTCTACTCTTGCCTCTACCTCCAGGGACTTCCCTGAGGAGGGCTGCTTCTCATCCCGAGACACCGGGCCAGGCGTCATCTGGCCACAGACGCCTCGAACCCCGGTGGCAGAGTCCCTCCCTTACCACCAGCACACCTGTCAGCCCGGAGCGTCTCCCGCGGGTACTGTCAACAGCCCAGCGAGAATCTCTGTGGCAACTTTCCCTGTCAAGTCAGCAAACATTTACACAACGCCTCTCCTTAAAGTTCACTTTGTGTATCTGCTCCTGAGAGGTGAACCTACTGATACCTCCCTTGCTTGCCCAAGCAGATGAGAACTGCTGATCTACTAAATCCCACAGCTCTAAATCTAGACCACGAATACCTGAATGTAGTGTTTCTCCTGCCAGGATTGAGGAACAAGTGTGTTTCTGAACATCAGTACATTTTTCTGTAAGAAGCTCTTAAATTACAGTGCTTGTTACCACAGTATTCAATACAAATTAATAAACTATATTTGGGATCATATGCATGATCAACCTCAAGCTTAGTATTTGTGTTTATCATAGATTCGGAACCATTTTCAGAGGCTTAATGCCTCCCAGATGCTAAGAAGAACAAGATGGGTTTAACATGTTAATGGTACGCTCCAGCCTAAAGGAGACCACGCACACGCCTACCTGGCAACATGCGCCAGAAGTGTGACGTCACCTGAGGAGTGCAGGCCGTAGTGACTTGTCACATGGGACGCTATGCTGTGGCAGAACACTTTACACGCGTATGCGCACACAGCAGCTTGTGCCCCATGTTATATTCATGAAGACAGCTACCTCGCTGAAAAAATCGTCATGGTAGATAACCATTTTAATGACAGTTGTTTTACGTTTTATTTATAAACTTATTTTGCTTTGAATGAACTGATTTCCAATTTGAATAAAAGCTGTGAGCACGAGAATGTGTGTGCTGTTAATGGAGCTTTTCACGTGTGCCACGTTAGGGTGCCCAGAAGGCACCTGACAGTTAGGGTCGGTGCTGGGCGCCCAGTGCAAAAGTATTTCTAGGGCTGAAGCTTCCCTTTCGGTTCTCCTGCAGCGGGTTTCCTGCACTGCTATTGTGTCCTTCGCCCAGGTCCCATCCTGGTCTTATTCTTTCTTTCCCTTCCTTAGTGAATGCTTTTCTATTCTCTACACATACGTTTCTTTTTTGAAAAAAATTCCTTCTAGGCTTAAACTCTCACTTTCTTCATAACCACCTCCCTTACAGCTCAGAAAGATCTGATGCTTTCTTTTATAACTCAGTAATGTGTTTGTAGTACACAAACTGTTATTTATATTTAAATTATTTTTCCTTGAAACTTTCATCCCGTTAGCCATACAATAAGTTTCTAAATGGCGAATCCCAACCCTTTTATTCTTCTATTATTCTATAATGAGTAAAATGCTCAGAACACCGAGAGAAATGGAAGTGAACATCCACGTGCTCACAGCTGCAGACATGCAGTACAGTGGGATATACCTGTAAGTGTGTATCTGAATGCTGTGCACATCTTTCAGGTGCTCTAATCATGTTTTAAACCAGGAAAAAGCCAGCCCGACTCCAAGAGCAGTCCGTATCTGCTAAAGGGGGTTGCTCCACAGAGGGGGGAAAGGGATTTGTAGACATTGCCTTCATCTGAAAGCACCGTGTCACACCTCCTCAGGCACTGTGGCCCTTTATTATCCCTCTGTGTCTCCTGTGAGTGGGTTAAATTGGAAAAACAGGGAAGTCCTCTGGCCTGGCTTTGGGCACGGGACAGAAATTTGTGAAGAAACAAGACAAAAACAAACTGAACGCAAGTCTGCGCCCCCTGGAATTAGTGGAGATTTTTTGAAGTCTGGCACAAAAATTGGCCTTTCTTTTATCACTCAAAGCTCAATTTTGAGAAACACTATTTTCTATGAGTGCAAGTGTACACAGTCCACAACGCAGATGTGGAGTCCTGATGGTCAACGCGGGGACTGTCCCCTGGCACCTCTGTGCATGCAAGAGACACCCACTGCCTGTCTCAGAACTTTGGTCTCCCTTCCTGGAACGGTGAATTCACATTATAAAGTCAGGAGTAAGAGTAATTTTAACCATCAGTCTGGAGGGTTGTACATGACGGAGTTTAAAGCATCTTGAAAGTTAAATGTGTCTCTGTGGACTATGAATATCTAAAAATAAAAAAAATGACTTAGAAATTTGTATTTGAAGTCCTTCCACGATTCAGTCTTTCCACTTTAGTTGACGTGGGCACCTCTCATACCAAGTCTTGATTACAGAATTGTTTTCAGCCAGCTGTGCTTTTACTGTGCCTGTAGCCCGGATTTCCTTGGTCGACAAGATGTACAAAATATATCTTGTCTATCAAACTCTTATGGGCAATCACTATAAATGCAGAATTTTTTACTAAAAATGGTTCTAATATTTTTAGCTAAAAAGATTGATTCAATGTGTTCCATAATGTCAAGTAAAAACGTAATTGAACAAAGCGCTCTGCACATCTGGTAGCTGCTTAGAGAGAAGCAGTGACTTCCATGTGTATCAACACATGGTTCCCACTTCTCTTAGGGAAGAGGCAGACCGTGATCTTGGAAGGTTTAACTCAGAATAGAACTACTATTGAAATCAGCTTAGTAAAGAAATAACAACCAACAATTATACATTTAGTTTTTGTTGATTTATGTGCCCTGTCTTCAATACATAGAATGATAGACTTGCAGGAAATATATCTAACATGATAGCATAAAA